CTGGAACCTGCTTTGGATTCTGTGTCTCCCTCTCTCTCTTCCCCCGCCCCTGCCCACACTTTGTGTCTCTGTCTCTGTGTGTGTGTGTCTCTCTCTCTCAAACAAAAAATAATAATAAACATTAAAAAAAAAGAAAACAAAAACTAAAACACCAAGAGCAAGGATGAACAAGTGTGCTTTCTCATTTATGTTGTTTAATAAATCAGGAGCTTGGGGACTTACCTTTTTGGGCTGAATCCCTTTGGGCCAGCCAGGTCGGTGGTCCTGAGCTGAGTGGGAGGGCTGTCCGTCCACCCATGTGCCTACAGCAAGCACCTTTCTTCTGAGAGTTTTACATACACATTAGAAGGCAGAAGCGGGGCGCCTGGGTGGCTCAGTTGGTTGAGTGTCTGACTTCGGTTCAGGTCATGATGTCACAGTTTGTGAACCCGAGCCCCACGTCGGGCTCTGTGCTGACAGCTCAGAGCCTGGAGCCTGCTTGGGATTCTGTGTCTCCCTCTCTGGCTGCCCCTCCCCCCTCACACTCTGTCTTTCTCTGTCTCTCAAAAATAAATAAACATTAAAAAAACTTAAGAAAAAGAAGACAGGATCTGCCTAAGGGTTCGGCAAGTGTATTGCAGCGAGGCTCCCAGGCCGTTCTCTTAAGCATCAACACCCTCTCCCCAGCCCCCAGGGCTCTCCTTACAGAGGAAATCAGGGCTTCACAACCCACATGCCAGGGTGCCATCCAGCGTCGGGGGCCCAGGGGTGCTTTCCCACTGAGCGGGAGACCCAGATGCTGGGAGTTGTAGGTCAGTGAATGGAGGGGGAGTTCTGGGCTACCTGGAGTCCACATTTCAGGGTCAGAAGGGTTAACGTGTCAGGCAGGTGTGTGGCCACACCACAGGGGTGTTGGCTGGAGGAGGCCTCTCCTGGCCACCTTGGGTGAGTGGCCAGCGTCCTCACAAGTCTCATATTAAAAGGATGATGGCTCTGTCTCCCTCTCTCAAAATAAATAAATAAACTTAAAAAAATTTTTTAGAGAGGTGGGAGGTGCCTGGCTGCCTCAGTGGGTTAAGCGTCCGACTTCGGCTCAGGTCACGATCTCATGCTTCAAGCCCAGCCTCGGGCTTCTCACTGACAGTGCAGAGCCTGCTTGGGATGGTCTCTGTCTCCCTCTCACCCTCTCTCCCCCCCTCAAAATAAATAAGTCAACTTAATATTTTTTAAGCAGGGTGGCTTTGGGTGTGTGCGAGCCCATGTATGAGCGTGTATATGTATGTATATGTACAGGTGTATCTGTAAGTGTGGCGTGTGCACATGTATGTAAGTGCATGCATGCGCGTGTGTGCTTGAATGTATGTGTTTGTGTATGTGAGTGTGCGTGCGTATCTGTTATGGAAGGGCATTTGTGCCTGTGTGTGTAGAGCTAACGTAACCATCTCAAAATCAGTTTTTGATCGTTAGTAAACACCGGTCTGCTACAAACTTCTGAAGTACTCCTGTGAAGGCAATACATCTCAATGCATTGACCTGTTGAAAGTGACAGGAGATGATGGTATTTGGAGTCCAGGGTATTTTTGAAAAACCACAGATTGTCAACTGAGTAGTAAAAGTTAAGTGAAAAGTGGACCTTTTATTTTCATTATCAAAGTGATGTAAAGTAATACGATTTCCATTACGCCCATTTGGTGGTTTGTTGATGAAAGAATCACGTTTGCTGCCCACACGCGTGTGGGAACGGTGCTGGGCACTATTTTTAGCTGCCCAGACCTCAAATGTTACAGAGAAATCACCTCCAGGGCACTGAGGGGAGGGTGCAGGAGAACCGCCTCCTGTTCTGTCTGAGAAGGGCACTGCTCTGTCCTTTTAGGAAAGGGTATACAAGCCAACGGTCCCCTGCCTTCAGGACAATGTCACTGTCCCCGGTAGCTGCCGTATCCTCAGAGCTTGTAGATGGAGCCCTTGTTGTGTGTTTTCGTTGGTTCTCTTGTTCATTTGTTTGTTTTATAAATGGTCAGTGATGTGCTTTTCTAAATGTTTGTTTATTTTGAGAGAGAGAGAGAGCGAGCGAGTGAGCACACAAGAACAGGGGAGGGGCAGAGAGAGAGGGAGAGACAGAATCCCAGGGAGGCTCTGTGCTGTCAGCCCAGAGCCCGACTTGCGGCTCCAACTCACAAACCCTGAGACCGTGACCTGAGCCAACATCAAGAGTCGGACGCTTAACCCACTGAGCCACCCAGGCCCCTTGTGTTTTGTTTTTGTTTTTGTTTTTGTTTTTTTTGGAGAGTGGGTTGCAATTTTATTTTTTATTTATTTATTTTTTTTCAGTATATGAAGTTTATTGTCAAATTGGTTTCCATACAACACCCAGTGCTCATCCCAACCCTTGTGTTTGTTTTTTTTTTTTTTTTTTAATTTTTTTTTTCAACGTTTATTTATTTTTGGGACAGAGAGAGACAGAGCATGAACGGGGGAGGGACAGAGAGAGAGGGAGACACAGAATCGGAAACAGGCTCCAGGCTCCGAGCCATCAGCCCAGAGCCCGACGCGGGGCTCGAACTCACGGACCGCGAGATCGTGACCTGGCTGAAGTCGGACGCTTAACCGACTGCGCCACCCAGGCACCCCTTGTGTTTGTTTTAAGAGTGATTTAGCCAGTTCGGTCTCCTGTGTCCTTGCCCTAATCACACAGTTTTCCCTTTCATCCTGGTTCTCCCCAAACCTAAAGTCGCCAGGGTTGTGGTAGTTTTTCTTGTTTTTTTGTTTCTTACCTTGAAGCCTGAATGTTCCAGCTTTGTTGAACTTTACTGAAACCAGTTTTTCTTTTTTTAAATGTTTCTTTTTGAGAGAGAGAGAGTAGGGCAATGGGTAGAGAGCTAGGGAGACAGAGAATCCCAAGCAGGCTCCACGCTGCCAGCTCAGAGCCCCACACGGGGCTTGAAACCAGAAACTGTAAGATCATAATCTGAGCCAAAATCAAGAGTGGGATGCTCAACTGACTGAGTCACCCAGGCTCCCCACGGAAGCATTTTTAACATACTTGGATAAGTAGTTTTACCATCGAGCCATTAGCCTCCTATATACACTGTCACTACCTCATAGAATAACTGATTCCTTAACAAACATATCTCCCAGCTTGTAGCAACAAACCTGATTTTGTATTTCCCTGTCTTAGGCCCCATCCTGCTTCAGAACCAGTATTTTTGGCATTCAGGTACAGCTCCAGTGAACTCTGTCAAGTTAATGAGTCCCCTGAGCACGACAGTGTTTGTTTTGCTAAGAAAGCCTGTGGCTTGGGTCCTTTATCAAATATTCCATTAACTGAGAGTTAAGTGGAGCTCTTGGTACTTTAATATTTGGGTGTGGAAAAGTAACGTTATCTCTGGATTTCCCCTTTTAATTTGAAAATTATCGTTATTTGGGGCACTGGGGCGGCTCACTCGGTTAAGCATCCAACTCATCCTGGTCTCACTGTTCGTGAGTTCGAGCCCCACATCGGGCTCTGCGCTGACAGCTCAGAGCCTGTTTGGGATTCTCCCTCTCTCCCTTTCTCTCTGCCCCTCCCCTGCTCTCTCTTTCTTTCTCAAAATAAATAAATAAACCTAAAAAATTTTTAAAAAGAAAAAAGAAAATTACTGTCATTTGATTGCTTCTTCGGTTTTAGTAATCCATAACAAGAATCCTTTTATACGCTAAACCCCGGGGTTCACAGTCTTGTTCTTTGAGGGGGCTGGTAGGAAATATTTTAGGCTTCATGGGTCTCTGTCAGTTGCAGGTACCCAGCTCTGCCATTGTCGCTCAGAAGCATTCACAAACAGGGACGCCTGGGTGGCGCAGTCGGTTAAGCGTCCGACTTCAGCCAGGTCACGATCTCGCGGTCCGTGAGTTCGAGCCCCGCGTCGGGCTCTGGGCGGATGGCTCAGAGCCTGGAGCCTGTTTCCGATTCTGTGTCTCCCTCTCTCTCTGCCCCTCCCCCGTTCATGCTCTGTCTCTCTCTGTCCCAAAAATAAATAAACGTTGAAAAAAAAAATTTAAAAAAAAAAAAAAAAGCATTCACAAACAGTGTGTAAACAAATGGCCATAATTGTGTTCCAGTCACAGCATATCTGTGAGTGCTGCGATGTGAATTTCCTGTCATTTTCACGGGTCACAGAATAATCTTTTTTAAAAAATGTCTTTAATGTTAATTTATTTTTGAGAGAGAGAGACAGAGAGAGAGAGAGAGAGGGAGACATAGAATCTGAAGCAGGCTCCATCCAGGCTCTGAGCTGTCAGCACAGAGCCCGACGCGCAGCTCAAACTCACGAGCCGTGAGATCATGACCCGAGCCAAAGTTGAACGCTGAACCCACTGAGCCACCCAGGCGCCCCGGCATCTGGACGTTTCTGTGTGGGGCCAGCTGTGTTCTTGGTCCTGCTCTCCTCATTTGTCCCCTTTACTATTGCTCGCTTCAAAAGCAAACTCTTCTCTCTGGTCCTTTCCTCCTAGTTCTTCCTCCCATGACCTGTCTGGCACGTGGGAGCACACGAATCTGCAGCGTACCTCTGACCACTTTAGTTCCCTGGGGAGCGTCGACAGCCTGGACCACCCTTCCCAGCCCTACCCCTCCAGACGCCTCTCTGCCGCCAGGTCCAATGGCAGCATCGACCACCTGGGCGGCCCGAGCAAGCGGGACTCAGCTTACGGCTCATTCTCCACCAGCTCCAGCACGCCCGACCACACCTTGCCCAAGGCTGATGCGTCCTCTGCGGAGAACATCCTCTACAACGTGGGCCTGGGGGAGGCCTGTAGGCCGGGCGGCCGGCAGGGCCAGGCTGCCAGTGACCCCCAGGGCCTGGAGGACAGGCTCGGGTACTTCCCACCCCGGGTCCCCCGTGACGGCAGCAGAAGCCCCAGGCCAGAGGACAGTCCTGAGACCAAGCTGGCCACCCCTGGAAAATCAAATTTGGGACCGGTTTGGTATGTCCCCGATAAGAGAAAAGCACCTTCCTCCCCTCCTCCACCGCCTCCCCCTCTCCGCAGTGACAGCTTCGCTGCCACCAAGAGCCACGAGAAGGCCCAGGGCCCTCTGCTCTCAGACACCGCCAGTGTGCAGCACTTTCCAGGCCCGCCCCAGGCCCAGCCCCGCAGTGACTGGAGACCAGAGCCCGCCAGTCAGCAGTGGAGGCCGGCACGGCCCGGCAATGGGAAGAGAGTCGGGAGCTCGGGCCCTGCGCCCCACGTCCCCCTGGACCATGGGGTGCCGACCCCTGACCACAGGCCGGGTGGCCTCCCAGGGGCCCCCGGCCGGCTTCAGGCCTCCCTGTCCAGCACGGACGTGCGTTTCCCGCAGGCCTCCTGTGGCTGCCAGCACCCGCGCCAGTACAGTGACGAGAGTCCCTTCTGTCACGACGGCCCCAGGGCCGCCTCGTCGCTGAGGGAGCAGCACTGTGTGGCCGTCCCTGGTGGCCGCCAGGAGCCTTCTGCCCACTGTGTCCAGGACGACGGCCCCACTCGGCTCAGGTGGCCCGGTGCCACCGAACAGAAGGGCAACAGCGGTGGGCAGAGCCGCTACTACTGTGTGACCAGCAGACAGTGCCTGCAGGCAAGCGCCCAGGCGGGACAGCCCCACGAGGAATATTGGCAGTCTGACGGGGCCGCAGAAGCCCACGAACTCCCCACTGAGCACCCAATGGGCCACGGGCCCTGGGGTCACATCCAGCACGAGGAGGAGGCCTCGGACACCCGTGAGAGCGACCAGGCAGCCAAGGGCCACCCCGTGGGAAGCGAGGAGCCACAGACAGCCGCCCACGGGGCAGGAGCGGTGGGGAAGGAAGCCGCCGACGGCTTCCTGTGGGCCGCGGGAGAAAGCGGCAAGATCTCCCCTCGGAAGACGCCTATGCTTCACTCGCTGGCCCGGGAGGGGGCGCGCCCGCCCGACGACGGCCCGGGAGCTGGTGCCGAAAGGCCGCCCCCGTTCGACGGCCAGGTGGGCAGAGCCACCCGGAGAAGCGACCGCTTCGCCACCACCCTGAGGAACGAGGTCCAGATGCGCCGAGCCAACCTGCAGAAGAGCAGAAGCACGGTGGCGCTGGCTGGGGCCGACGAGGCGGCTCGGGAGGCCGGCGGCTGGCAGGTGGAGCCGGGAGGCATCCCCGGCACCTCCCCAGAAGGTTCCTTCCGGGGCACCTATAAAGACCACCTGAAGGAGGCCCAAGCCCGGGTCCTGAGGGCCACGTCCTTTAAGCGCCGCGACTTGGAGCCCGGCCCGGCCGATCGTCCCGCGGGGTCAGCCGAGCCGCGGACTGAGGAGCACGGCACACATCTGGATGCCACCCCCCACTTCTGGGAGGGGGGCCTGCCCAAGCCGTCCCCGTCTGGAGGGGGCCTGCCGCACGTTCCCCGCATTGGGGCCCGGAAACGGTTCACGGTGCAACAGAAGCTGAAATCGTACTCCGAACCCGAGAAAATGAACGAGGTGGGGCTCGCAGGGCCCGATCGCCCCCACCGGCACCCCGGTGCGTCCGAGGACACCATGGGCACATTCGCCGACAGGTGCAAGTTTTTTGAGGAAAGCAGCAGACCCATTCACCAGAGACCTGGGCAGAGGCAAGTGCTCTGTGGATTCCCGAAGGAGAAGCTGGAGAGGCCGCGGACAGCGGGCCACGGGTACGAGGGTGCAGAGCCTTGGTTCCAGAACAGGGCCCACACGACCTCCCTTGGAGAGAACCCCAGCAGTCACGGAAAAACGGCGACCATGGGAAAACCAGAACCGCCTCAGAGACTTGGAACCTTTGCTGAGTATCAAGCCTCTTGGAGGGAGCAGAGAAACGCTCTAGAAGCCAGGAGTTCTGGGCGGTATCACTCAGCGGATGACATCTTGGACGCAGGTCTGGATCAGCACGAGAGGCCACAGTACGTTCATGGAAGGTCCCGTTCCTCACCATCCACAGACCCCTACAAACAGGTAAGGTTTGTGCCCCAGCCAAGGAAGAGCTGCCCCGGGCTGCTGTCTTAAGGCACATATAGGATGCCCTGAAAATACGATGGCCCAATGTCAGCGTCGCTTGTGTCCCGCCGTTTGGGCATCGTTTGTGTGCACCGGCTCTCTCGTGTCAACTTGTGTGGAAGGTACCTGGGGACTAAACAGGTACATCCATGACAATTTAACTCCGTATCCGTGTGCCTGTCTTGAGTCCCCGGCCTCCCCATCGTCACTTGCTTCAGCTGTCTCTCCTCATAATTAGCTTGCCCCAACCTTAACCCCACGTAAAGAATTTGGGGGGAACCCTAGAAAATGGTCAGTTCTCCTCTGAAATGAAAAGGGGTGAAGACAGTGTATGATACACGATAGCCACTCTTCAAATGCTGAGGCCTTTAAAATTTTTAATATTTGTTCCTTGTAGTATTTTTTTTCAAATATGTTTAGATTCCTCCAGAACAAATGTAATTAAACATGCAATGCATTAAACTGTTGCACTTTTTATAAGGTGAGAATTCTTTTTATTTTTTTTTTTATTAAAAAGAATTTTTTTAAGTTTATTTTGAGAGAGAGAGCGAGTGAGTGAGCAGGGGAGGGGCGGGGGGAGAATCCCAAGCAGACTCCATGCTGTCAGCACAGAGCCCAGCGCGGGGCACAGACTCACAAACTGTGAGATCGCGACCCGAGCCGAAACCAAGAGTCAGACGCTTTAACTGACTGAGCCACCCAGGCGCTTCTATAAGGTAAGAGTCCTAATGCTAAAAGTTGACTTTAAGCTTTCTAGAAAACTTAAAGAAAACATTCCAGTGTCATCTCGCCTCTTTCTCTCTCTCTCTCGAAATATAAATAAACATTAAAAAAAATTTTTTTTAAAAGAACCAGTAGTAGGTTCAATACACAATATTCAGGGGGTGCCTAGTTGCCTTAGTCGGTTGAGCGCCTTTTTTTTTTTTTAATGTTTATTCATTTTTGAGAGACAGAGTACAAGCGGGGGAGGGGAGAGAGAGAGACACAGAATCTGAAGCTGGCTCCAGGCTCCGAGTTGTCAGCACAGTCTGACACGGGGCTCGAACTCAAGGACGGTGAGACCATGACCTGAGGCAATGTCAGACGCTTAACCGACTGAGCCACCCAGGTGCCCCAAGCGTCTGTCTCTTGATTTTGGCTCAGGTCACCATCTCACGGTCCATGGGTTCAAGCCCTGTGTCAGGCTGTGTGCTGTCCGTGCAGAGCCTGCTTCGGATCCTGTCTCCCTCTCTCTCAGCCCCTCCCCAGCTCGCTCTCTCTCTCTCTCTCTCTCTCTCTCTCTCTCAAAAATAAATAAACACTAAAAAACAACAGTTTGGAGAGCGGAGCTTGTGAGCCCTGTGGCTGAGTGTCATTACAAGGCGGCAGGCTACGTCCTCGCCTCCGCGGCACAGGCTTGCGGGGCAAACCCACAATGAGGGGGTTCGTAATAATAGATGTCTTGAGGAAGGCAGCTTGATGATTCGGAGTTTCACTGTGCTGCTCTTGGCAGGAAGCTGCCATCGAACCACAACAGCAAGTGGGGGACGCTGGTGAGCACAGGCAACTTTCTGCCACCGTCCGGGCCGAGGAGGGACGCCCTAATCCGAGGTGGGTGAATTCTGGGTTTGGGGTTGCTAAGAAGACATCTTGGAGGTGGCCTTCTCGATGGTGGGTGAATGCTTGGTTCACGTGATTGGGCCTCTGGTGGTTTTTTTGCCAAAGCCAGCATGGCTGCTAACTGGATGCAGTTTCCAGCACCTCAGCGTCCCCGCTGCAGACGTGGTGCCGTTTGAGCAGAGCCTGTAGCCCTGCGCCGCCTCCAGCAGAAGCGTCTCAAGGGCGAAGATGCCTTCTGATGCCATCGTGGCCTTTTTTTTTTTTTTTTTTGGTTCTTAAAATGGCTGCTGTGTATGCTGTACAGTACGGTTCTTTATGTTCACAGAATGAGAAATCCAGTGTAATGTGCTTGAATGAAATGCTTTATCCAGAATGCTCGTTGAAAGGATGCTTTAATGATCTAGTACACAGCTGGGCTGCCGGGGCGTGGTCTCCAAATTGGAGTTGCCTGGGAAGATTGTCAGAAAGGAACGGAGCCAGCCTTTCTAAATTGGGCTTATTTCGAGCTCGAAAATAGAAATCAAGTCCGTCGGCTCCTCAAGAGGATCTGAAAGACTGGTGGATGGTAGCAGTGTTATTAGCACGTTGTGTGCCATAGTTCTCAAATGTGGCCAGTGTAGCTGTTTAACTGTAGTGAGGATAGAATTTAGACTGATTAAGTAAATGAATCAATAGTGTCATCTCGCCCTTGATATGCACGAGGAGGGAGGGAGATGGAAGCGTAGAATACTGTAGGACCTGTGGTATCAGCTTATTTTAAGAGGGCTGATAGGGGCGCCTGGGTGGCTCAGTCGGTTGAGCGTCCACCTTTAGCTCAGGTCAGGATCTCACGGTTCGTGAGTTCAACCCCCACATCAGGCTTGCTGCTGTCAGCTCAGAGCTCGCTTCAGATCCTCTGCCCCTCTCTCTCTGCCCCTCCCCCATGCACACTCTCTCAAAAATAAAACATTTAAAAAAAAAGAGGGTTGATAGAACAGTGGAAATAAAACTACACAATTGGGTCACTGAATACAGATCTTTCTACTGCTTTGAGAATATCTGGTGATTGGTGTGATATTCAAATTTAAACACTTAACCTCAAAATTCAGGGTTCTGTTGCAGAAATAACCAATTTAAATGTTTGCTTTTGAGAGCCTTCTATACTGGGGTTTTATTTCATTTGGCTTTAAACTCGAGTGCTGTTAGCCTCACAGGAGAGTATCCAATCTTTACGTGGCTCTGAGGGGACACGAGTGGTATATTGTGTAGGAAGTCTGTGTAATTATCTGCATGGCTAAAACCAAGAATCCCTGGGTAAGAAGGAATGGCCGCTGAATAATACACCTACGGAATCGAGCAGTTTTTGAGAAACACAATCACAGCTTTATTACTGTACATTCTGGGTAAGTCACGTGCCCAGCACCAGCTGTACTCTTTCTTCCAAGCCCACTTCTGGGCTGTGTTGCAGTTGTGAGAGCGCTCGGTGCACCCTGCATGTGCGAGCTCTGGTTTCACCCTTGTGCTCCTGCCATGTATGTATTTCACTGATCCTGCAGAGGGTCTGTGTGGTGGTTAGAGTTAGCTCCCCTGCGGTGAACAGAGTCCTAATGAATAACTCTAATGTACAGTGTGTGTGTGTGTGTGTGTGTGTGTGTGCGCGCGCGCGTGTGTGTGTGTGTGTGGTAAATGGCACTATCAATAGTGAAAGGGTCAAGAGGAACAGGGGGAGGGACCATATGCTTCATTTATCATGGCTGTGTCTTCTAGCGGACTGTGTAACCACCCTGAAGAAATTAGTTCCAGAAGCTTTCTGCTTTTTGAGCTACAGACCCAGCAATTTTCAGAATTGTGTGCACTTTCAAAGAGTGGCAGGACTCAATGAAATTCTAGAATAGGAGCATTGAAAAGCCATTCCCAGTTTTTTTCAGAGAATGTTTGTTTTTCGAAGTATCAGTAAGAAATAATGTACTTAAAACATTAAATCTGGGAATAAAAGAAATGAAAACTCAGGTTAAGGAGTGTCTTTTGCTCACCAAAAATAAAATCCTATAATACAAAGATTTTAAGATACCTAATGTTTTGCATAAATTTTTAAAATGTTTTATTTATTTTTGAGAGACAGAGAAACAGCACGAGTGGGGAAAGGGCAGAGGGAGAGAGGGAGACACAGAATCCGAAGCAGGGTCCAGGCTCTGAGCTGTCAGCACAGAGCCCAACGTGGGGCTCGGGTTCACAAACTGTGACATCACGACCTGAACCGAAGTCAGACGCTCAACCAACTGAGCCACCAGGTGCCCTGCATGAATTTAAAACAATATAAGTGTGTCTATAAAAAATGTGAATTATTGGGGTGCCTGGCTGGCTCAGTCAGTACAGCATGGTACTTTTGATCTCGGGGTTGTGAGTTTGAGCCCCACACTGGGCGTAGAGATTGCTTAGAAATAAAATCTTAAAAAAAAATTACTGATCTGATAATGGGGCAGGATAATGAATGGTTTTCATTGTATTCTGTTGAGACAAGAGTAGGGCATCAAGATAAGAGTTACTTGTTTACGCAAACCACACAGAGAACATATTTGTGAGGGTCAAGGTTCTGTTCTATATAAAGATAAATAGGACAAAGGTTCTGCTCCCGAAGGACCTCACAGTGTAGGAGGGAAGGACAGACACCCATACTTAACCACTGAAGAGGTGACACATAAAGTATAATTTTGGTGAAAAGTTACGTGGTGCTTCCGAATCTTGGAGGAAAGAGGATGGGGTGACTTCTGGATGAGTCCTGGGGAAGACGGGGGGTTTGATCTGAAATCAGCCCACTCCCATGAGAGCAGATCGAATCGCGTGCACTTAGTACCAGCTTTCCCTGTGGTGGGCAGCGTCCCCTGCCCACACCCGACCCTCAGTCTCCTGGCTTCTGTTCTCTGAGGCTTTGTACCAGCTCTCCAAGCCCCGTCATTGTGGCCAGCACAAGTCTGCTTCCTGCAAAGCTGCTCCCCCGCTGACTTGGGGTCCCTCGTAAGTCGGATGCAGTAGCTTATTCCGGCTATTGTAACAAAATACCAGAGACTGGGTAGCATCCACAAAAAAAAAAAAAAAAAAAAAAATTGTCTTCTCACTCTTCTGGAGGCCAGAAGTCCAAGTTCGAGATGTCAGCCTCATTTCCCCCAAGGCTTTTTTCATGACTTGCAGACAGCCACCTCCTCCCCGCGTCCTCACGTGGTCTTCCCTCCGCGTGTCTGTGTCGTGATCTCTTGTAAGGCACCAGGCTGGATCAGGGTCCCCTCTGATGACTTCATTTTACCTTACTTACCTCTTCAATAACCCTCCATCCAAATAGTCACATTCTGAGGTCCTGGGGGTGAGGACGCAAGCATATAAATTTTAGGGGGATACAGTGAGTCCGTAACAGTGGGAGGAATGTCGTTTCTGCCTTATACCTTAAACCAGTGCTGTCTGCTGCATCGGCCCTCTCAGGAAGTGTCACCCCATCATTGAGCGGCTGAGGCCACACCTGATAGGGGAGCATTTAAAATTTTTTAAATATTTATTTACTTGCTTCTTTCTTTCTTTCTTTATTTTGAAGTGGGGGAGAGCAAGACCAGGGGAGGGGCAGAGACAGAAAAAGAGAGAGAGAATCCCAAGCAGGCTCCGAGCCATCAGTGCTGAGCCTGATGTGGAGCTCAAACTCACGATCCATGAGATCATGACCAGGGCTGAAATCAAAAGTCCGGTGTTCGACGAACTGAGCCACTCGGGCGCCCCGTTACGGGAGCATTTAAAATAAAGGAAGAGGGAGGCTGCCATCCTTGAGTGTGGCTGGTGAAGAGAGGGGAATTTGGCAGAACCTCTCTGGAGGGCTTTTTGGTGGCCCGTAACCACTGCAGGCACCTTCTGGTTCACTGATCCCACTTTGAAGAGTCGCCCTTCCAAGTGAACGGCAGCACAGAGGCATTCCCCGCTGAGGTGCTGACTGATGCTCACTTGGTGGGTGTGTTTGCACCCCACCTTTCCCAGTTCTCATGGAGTCACCCCCTTGCTGCCTGCTGGTCTCCTTGCCTGGATGGCTGGTAGTGCCTTTGAACGGGGTGGAGGTCAAAATCCTGTTTTTGCCCCTCGGTACCCTCCTTGCCGGGGCTCGGATCTGAGCCACATCTCCCCTGGTCACCTTGCTGCCCAAGCCAAGGCCCACCTTCCTCAGGCAACACAGTGCTCCCTGGGATCACGTTCCCGTCTTCGTGCAAGCTTTCGTCATCTCCAGCCTGGACCACAGCAGCTACCTCCTCACTGGTTTTGGAAGATAGATTACAACTGTCCCAAGGCCCAAACCATTCAATGGCTTCTAGTTGCACTTGGAATAAAATTCAGACTCCTGACTGTGACCTGGAAGGCCCTGTATGCCCGTCCTTTTGTGGGGGGGCACCCTTCGTCACTCCTCTCCCATCCAGGCTCAGGACTCATTGCCACCTTCCTATCCCTTGAACAAGCCAAGCTCGTTTCTCCCGCAGGGCCTTGATGCTTACTATGAGACTGTTCCTGGAATACCACAAGCCTGCCTCAGGACATCTGCTTAGCAAATGGCAGCTGGGTGTTCATGCTCAGCTTGGGGAGGGGACCTGTGGAGCACAGTGACTGACAGATGGCTGGACCAGTTGTCAGGTGACGAGTGGAGACATGGGTGGGTGGTGGGTAGATAAATGCATAGGTAGGTGGATAAATAGGATGGATTGGCAGATGAATGGATAGGTACCAGCCTAACAGCCCTTGGTTCGGTCCTTGATTATGGTGGATAAGGATTCCGTGTTGGTACATTCTGTATGCTAAATGTCATTTAAGATTTTAGTTATACAATAGTAATAGTTTATACAATAGTGTCTTTCTGTCCTAGCATAACATTGAGAATCAAGACATTTATGTCTTGATTTGGTAGTGTGGACTTGTTTTCCAGTATCGTGTTTTTTAAATGTTTATTTATTCATTTTTGAGACAGAGAGAGTACAAGCAGGGGAGGGGGA